GGTAAACTACAACTTGCTCAAGTTAAAGTACATTGTATGATCAAGACCTCTTCCAGAAAATGTTATAAGTAGATAAAAAGCATATGGAAATGTAGTTACAAATTAACCCAATCGAACCATTAAACTCATTCCCCAACGAAACTAGAGCTTAGTCCATTCAACTACCAACTTATCTATCTCAGCCATACAAGGACGCAAAAAATCCCGTGCACTTCTCAGTTCTCACACAGTGTTGGTGTCCTCCAAGTAGCTAATCATAAGCATTTCTTTAAGCTAACTCAAGGCAAACCCCCCACCCCACCCCTCACCCCACCCCAATATGTTCTTCACCTATACACTCAGCATCTGCATAACTTCGCAAGAAGGAAAAATAGAGACAGATTAAGTTACTTACCCACCCATTTCAGGCATTTGGAGGTCCATAAAACAAGCATCAAACTTGTGTGGTGGATTAAGATGTGCTAGAGCAGCCTTTCCACTGTCTACACAGGTCACTATCGCCCCGTACTTCTTTAGAGCACCTTCTGCCACTCTTCTGTTTACAGCATTATCGTCTACCACCAATATATGCTTGCCCGTCAGCAGACTTCCAAGAGTTGAAGGTTTTCCTCGGGTTACTTGCTTCTTATTTTGGTAGCCAATGGCTTCTTGAAAGCATGTTATCAACCCACTCAATCGCACAGGCTTTGCTAACACGTGATCCACAATTCCAGCTGATTTGAGCTCATCTCTCTCCATAGTGCTCATACATAACAGACAAATTTTTGGATGCTTTCCCAAAGCAGTAGTTGAGCCATTTGGTCTGAGCTCTTTCAACATATTACAAAGTGTAAGAGAAGTTTCCTTATCCCAACTATCGTTGTCAACAAAAACCACAGCTAAATGTCCCAATGCACTGCAAAACAAGCAAAAATTCAACTGAATGAATCAATAATGCCAACAGCATTAAATAACAGCACGTTGAAGATCTACATCACTCATTTAATCAGTTATGTTACAGACCAAAAACAAAAATGAAAATGCTCACTTTCAATGACTTAAAACTTTTAGATGCAAGCAGTTCATACAATTCAAATGGTTCCAAGTAAGCAGAAGTCCTAGGTTCGAGTCTTTCACTCATCAACAAAAAACTTCTACACGCTTGGCTCAAGCCCGCACATCAGGGGTTGTCTTGCAGATTTGAAATAACTAAATAAACATATCGACTCTCTGATAGCTTAAGCATTTAGTCTAGGGAATTCACATAATTCAACAAGTTTCAAGTTGGACATCTTGCAGGTTATTTGACCTGAATTATGTTACAGATACTTTAGTATAATATACCCTATGTGCCTAACTTTCCAGAATAAGTAATCGGAGGTAAAAGAAACTCAAGATGGGTAGTGACAATGTTGTGATGCAGTAAAGACTATTTACCCATTCTTTAAAAGGTAAAAAATTTCGACACCATATTAACTGAAATGCATGGATCGAATTTAGAAAGACATGTTAAGCAGAAGTTCTACTTTCTATCTACTTATGCATCTGATACTTCAGACCTCTATCAATTTTGCCTCTTATTACCTAGTATTAGAGTAACTAGAGAGATATGAGCATGCCGAACGCATCGTTGAAGTTATGTTGACGCATATTCCCAGTCTCTGCAGATGGTATCTTGTGACCTCTGCTCGAATGCTTTTATCATCAATTACCAATGCTCTTAAACCACGAAACTCTGAAACAGCTGGATCGTACTGTTGCCATTTACGTTCTAATGAACCTTCTTCTCCTCTTGCAAAGGCAGCAGTGAATGAAAATGTACTCCCTGTGCCAGGTTCACTGAAAAAACCGATTTCTCCCCCCATGAGGTCCACCAAACGCTTGCTAATGCTCAATCCTATACCTGTTCCACCATATGTTCGAGATGTTGAACTGTCAGCCTGCATAAAAGGTGTGAAAATAAGGTCTTGTGCTTTAACAGGAATTCCCACGCCAGTATCTTCTATGGTCACTAACAACTTGATCTTTCCCACTTCTTCCTCTGTGCTGCTTAGCCTATCAAACTTTTGCCAACTTTGCCATCTGTCAACTACAGGAAACCCACTTAAGGTATTCCAAGATGCATTTGACCTTTCTTGAACAATGGTTAAGCTTTGTTTCAAGACTTCATCCGTCACATCATGAGGGTTGCTCACTTCATCAGCTAAATGTACCGTGACAAATATGTGCCCTTTGTCATTTGTGAACTGCAATATGAACAAGTAAGATCTTAGTGAAGTAAAAGTGATGAAACGAACAAGAACAACTACTACTACGCCTCAGTCACAAACAAAGTTGGGGTCGGCAATATAAATCCTCATTTCTTTCATTAAGCTCAACTCATATCAGTTAATGAACTTTAAAATCAGAAAATATTCACTTATATCACTGGTGAACTTGAATTATCTCCTGCAATGAATAGATATTAAACATAAATGCAAAAACTGATGATTTTTGAATGTTTAGCACATTAATATTTTTAACCTTTTAAATGTATGGAAAAATTTTATATACTTGGGGTGTGTTTGGTATGAAGGAAAATGTTTTCATGGAAAATGAGTGGTTTTATCAGTTATTTTCCCTTGGTTGGTTGGTGAGCGGAAAATATTTTCTAGTGTTTGGTTAGAGAGTATAAAATATTTTTCTATGCTACTCTCCTCAATCCACCTTCCCCAACATCCTCATGTTGCATGTATCCCCCCCCCCCCCCCCCCCAGCGGACTCTATTTTATTCAAGAATTTAATTATTCTTTTCAAAATTTACACAAACCCAAAGGAACAAATGTGTTACTTTACTTTTTCACATAAGAACAACATTGAAATTTGAGCTCGAGAACCAAAAAGAAAATGCTTTTGTTTGGTTGAAAAAGAAAGTATCATTTCTACAACATGAAAAGAAAGTATTCGTTTTGTTGAAATGAAAGAAAATACTTTACATCATGAAAAGAAAGTACTCGTTTTGTTAAAATGAAAGAAAATATTTTTTCTACATCAGGAAAAGAAAATACTTAGTTTGTTGAAATGAAAAAAATACTTTTTTACATCATGAAAAGAAAGTATTCGTTTTGTTGAAAAAAAAGAAAATACTTTTCTACATCGTGAAAAGAAAGTACTCCTTTTGTTAAAATGAAAGAAAATATTTTTTCGACATTAGGAAAAGAAAATACTTAGTTTGTTGAAATAAAAAAAAATACTTTTTCTACATCATGAAAAGAGAGTACTCGTTTTGTTGAAATGAAAGAAAATACTTTTCTACAACCATGAAAAGAAAGTACTCATTTTGTTGAAAAAAAGTATTTTTTTCTATTTCAAGAAAAGAAAATACTCTTTTTGTTAAAATAAAAGAAAATATTTTTTCGACATCATGAAAAAAAGTACTCTTTTTGTTAAAATGAAAGAAAATATTTTTTCGACATTAGGAAAAGAAAATACTTAGTTTGTTGAAATAAAAAAAAATACTTTTTCTACATCATGAAAAGAGAGTACTCGTTTTGTTGAAATGAAAGAAAATACTTTTCTACAACCATGAAAAGAAAGTACTCATTTTGTTGAAAAAAAGTATTTTTTTCTATTTCAAGAAAAGAAAATACTCTTTTTGTTAAAATAAAAGAAAATATTTTTTCGACATCATGAAAAAAAGTACTCTTTTTGTTAAAATGAAAGAAAATACTTTTTCTACATCATTAAAAGAATATACTCATTATGTTAGAAATTAAAAAAAGTACTCTATTTACAACATGAAAAGAAAGCACTCTTAATAATATTTGTATTTAGGGTGGATGGTGGGCGAGGTTAGAGTGGGTGGGGTGTGGTGGGGGGTAG